AAACCCCAATAACACCCAGGGAAGTCTCCTGTCATTCTTTAGATAAAAACAGCCAAAAACTAGTATAGATCTAAGTTTGAATCAGCACTTGTGACATTAGGCTGTTACCAATTCAGAGAGCAGGCTGCTACTTACTCTCTTTACTCACTGTGGGATCTATCAAAGATTTTTAATCTTGAGTGCTGGAATACTTAAAATTTACACACAGAATTGTCTGTATCTTTATATGCATGTCTTTTTCTTTAATCAGATGCTCATAAAAGTCTGTAACTCCTCAACAGTCTAAGACCCCTGTTCCAGACTGTCCATTGGTTAAAATAGAAGTTTAGTGACATGCAAAGTCCGTATTTGATTTGATTTTCTAGAATAGGCAATTAGAAAATAAACTCTTCCCATTTAAAACAAAGTATTAAACTACTCTGTTCTCAGGCACACACACCTCATTCACTCAATCCACTCTTGAATGCCTTCTGTGTGCCAGACACGTTTCTTTTTGCATTCAGTTTTAGCAGGACTGGATTCAACCTTGGATATTTAGGGGATTCTCTTTGAGAAAAATAATATAAATCACAAATACAAAACTCTTAGGTCCCCTCCCAGCACCTTGGGAGACATGGGCACATAAGGGGCCCAGAAGCTTCTGCCCGTTTCTATGCCTAACCTGTTTCTAGTTTCTGGGGAATCTTAAACTGAGGCCACACTTTTCTCTGCCTTCATTTCCAAGTCAATTTCCCCCCACCTCCAAATCCCAGAAAGTCCAAGGTTGATTTTAGGGTCATTATGAAGTGCTAAAGACTGAATGTCTGTCTCTCTCCAAAAATCCCATGTTGAAACCTAATCCCCAATGTGATGTTATTGGTAGGTGGGGCCTTTACTTTGGGAGGTAATTAGGTCATGAGAGTGGAGCCCTTGTGAATGGGATTAGTGCCTTTATAAAGGAGACCCAGAGCTTTCTAAACCCTCTTTCTGCCATGTGAGGACACAGTGAGAAGTCAGCAGTCTGCAACCTGAAAGAGGTTCCTCACCAGAACCAACCATGCTGGCACTCTGATCTCAGACTTTGAGCCTGCAGAACTATGAGAAATAAATTTCTGTTGGTTTATAAGTCATGCAGTCTATGGTACTTTGTTACAACCACCAAGACTAAGACACAGTCCATCTTCGTAACCTTATTACAACTATCTCTAGCTTTGAAATTTAAGTATTCACAAAATTCCAAAAATATATAAAACATGAAATAATTTGTGATATATTTTTTACTTTTGTCTGATATAAAATTTTAATTTTGGTTATGACATGACCTATCTAAACGGATGAATGAATGCATTAATCACTTTCAGGTTTGAAAATTTTGACCTCTTCCAGGCATGATAGCCCTATGCCATCATCAATGGAAAAGCTACATTCCTGTTAGCTTTCATTTTGAACTAGATTTTGAAATTTAAAAGAAATAAGTGGGTTACTTTTCATATTTTTGATTCCTAAGGCTGGCTAAGATTTACTATTTCACAATTAAATATATAAATATACCTATTATAAAAATTTTAAATAAACTCTTAGAAACTATTTTACAGTAGAACATCAACATTTTCTTGATAGGTGAAAGCTTTTATATTACATTTTTATTTTGCAAGAAAATAAATTATACAACTTAAAAAATAAAATCCAAAAATTAAGCAGTTCATCAAAATATTTCAGCCTACTGCATACAGAAACTGCTACCATTTAAAATTGTACAGCATTATCATCTCAGTATGTAGTGGCACACATTCAAAATTGTATATACGAGGATAGAATACAACTTAGGAACTCAAATTTGTTCAACACTCCAGACAACATATATAGTGTAGATGACAGGAAAGCTCTCATTGTAATGTTTATTTCACAAACATGACATTGGAAGAGTTTATAAGATAGCATCCCAGTCATTTACATGAAAATAGAAAAAACAACCTTGAGTTTAAGATAGCAAATCTTTCTGGAAAACTAGCAAAACTTTCACCCAAACTGAATTTTTAAAATTTGCCCTTTGAGCAGGGCCAATGACATCCTACTGCAAATAATACAAAATACTTTTAAACTACTCCGGTCATAGTTTGTATTAAATTTAATAAAAGGTAAAAATAAGAAAGCTAACATTTCATTTTTGGAAATTTTAACATTTATGCACAAAATAAGAGAAAGAGACTTAAATAAAGTTTGCCAGAATGCAGGGACCCCTCCAATAAATGTAAAAATTGGAAGACTTCAGAATTTATTTCAAGACACTCATTAAATCAGCAGAACAGTAATACTCTAAATATTTAACTCATTGTAAGCATTAAAATTGTTCTGTATTTTCACTTTGTAAGTTTTGTTTCATATCTACTTAATCTGGCAATGAGATGGCAATAAAGGTTAACATTTTCAAGATGGCTCAACCTTTATATTAGAAGATGAATGTTCAAATCTTAACCTCTGAAGTGTCCTATTGCCATACTGCTCATGAAAAAAATATATGCATATATATGTATATATTTTTCCCCTTAACTATGTCAGAGTTCATCCCTGCTCAGCACTAATTTTAAGTGCACATTAGAGAAAAGGGACTTAGTAATAAAGGATACTAACTGTGATTCTGTATCTTTAGCAAATTGCTGGTAGTTTTTTTCCAGATCCTTTTTTTTTAAATTAGCAAATCTGTTGTCAAAATATATTTAAAGAAAATTCAACAATGGTATAGGCACCTTGTCAACTAAATGGTTTTCATAAACACCAAAAATTGTATACATAATGAACAAAATGATGAAAACTGTAGTAAGTCTACAGTATTTGTTGCTGTTCTATTCCCCAAAATACAATTAGAACATAATTAGCAATTTAAAAATTTATAAAATTTAATAGAAAACTTTGCTATGGATTTAGAGTTACCCACTTTTGCATTAAATTTGCCTTTATAAATCAAAACATCATGGCTCTCATTCTTAAACGACTAAAAAATGATTAGAAATTCCAAAAAAAGTTCTGAGAACTATTCTGGTTTAAAACAACAACAAATCTTAAACTTTAAGAAATGGCCTGTAATTTTTCTTTCCACTGCTTCCTCCTTTGGCGCTCCTGTATCAGATAAGCAAATATGCCAATACCAAACTGTTAAACATAAGGGCCACAATTATTACCAAATTATTAGTTTTTAAAAATTTTGAATTTATCCATTGTTAACAGTCATCTAATTAGAGAAAACAGTGAGCGCTAATTTAGTTTAATCTTCACAATATGCTTGGTCTAATAACTGACATATGCTACCTTAGAGCTCAAATGTAAGATTTTAAATTAGAAACAAAATTCCAATTTCTTATGAGTTTCAGAATAGGCCTTTGACTATAGCCAGCAAAACCTTAAATATTTTAAATTTGCTGTCCTTCCTTTCAGCAGGCAGCTCACAAAGTCTCTTGGGATTGGGGACAGATTCCATGAAATGCTCTTGAAAGCACTCTGTAATAATACTGTACGCCTTTCAACACTCTGGCACTCCATTTCCTACTATCATCAAAATAATTTAAAATATTACTTAATATCAAATAAAATATAAAATAATTTGCAAGAAAATTTGAAATGTGCACCACAATGAATGAAATCCATGTTGAGCCATTCTTTCCCAATGGGGACTAAGTTTTTCTCTTTTAAGTTGTTCATGTTCTCAAGTCCTAAAATCTCCATTACTCTGGGTATTCAGTTGCCAGCAACTAGTAAGTTGCTACTTTGGATTGACTAAAAGGAACAAGGTAAGTGTTGCCTTCTGAACATTTTTTAAATGTTTATTTTTAAAATATATAAATATATATGTACATATATTTGGCAAGTTTACTGCTCATATTAAGATTGCAACAATTTTGCTTATGCTTTTCAGGTCTATGTTGTGGTTTTTCTCTTCCTCCTAAGTGACTGATACTTAATTATTACTTTTTAAAACAGAATGTCTTCCTTTCCAGAAACCTGAGGTTATAAATCCCTAATCATGAGACTAAAATTTCAAAATATTTCTATGCTACAGATTAAGAGGTCAGTTACATAACTGTATTATATTAAAGCAGGAGATTTGTCTTGTTTTTAATAAATTTGAATATGGCATAATAAATATTAAGTATATAAATATTAAGTGTCTTAGTAAACACTTAATATGCTTGTTTTGCTGTTTTGACTCTGCAATCGACCAACCTATCTCCATGCATTTTTTTAAACAATTAAAATAATAATTAATATGAGCTTCACTTTTTCAAAACAAGCTCTCTTAGCCATGTAAGATTTAAAAAACTCCTCATCATTTAACAATAAACAACTAAGACAGTAGTCTCCTGCTTAAAGAAAGCCAACATTTTTTAGTTGGAAAAATTTAATACCATTTTTAAGTCACCACTAAAATCCAGCTGCTATACTGAAGCAGTGTTTGAACATATAATTTGATACTATTATAAACTTATCTTTTCACCTGTATCTGCCCTGTCCCAATGTTGTGTAGACCAGCTCACTCTTTTGATCAAAAGAAACCAAGAGTGCTATTTCTAGTTTTAATTGCATTTTTTAAAACAAAACGTAACAGCATTTTTCAGCACACAAACATCTGAAGATCCTTCCTTGTGCAAGTACATTTTTGTAAGAGAGGAAAAGAAGAAAAAAAAAAGAAAAAAAAAAAGCAACAAGAACCCCACTTTCACCCTTCCCAACTGTATTTCTTCTGGTGGGTATAAATCAGATTTTTAAAAGTTCATTATGGGCTCTTCATGAATGCAAGTTTCTCCACAAAACGGCATGCTGTTAAAACAGAGTGTGCAACATGAAGGGAATGCCACCATGCTAACTAATGTGATTGGCAAAATATAGCTGTTTTGTTAGGTAAGGCAGAGATTTTAATATTTATGTAATCAAAGTCCAAATAAACCTTCCTCTAGCACAAACTGTAAGAACTTTCTGCCCAAGCACTCCAAAATTTTGGTTCTTAATACTGTCCATGATATTCAAAATTATGCCATATATATGAAAGTGTTGATATCAGATTCATCTCTTCTGATGTATTTGTGCTCTATTAGCCATTCTATTTGCTCTTTTATCATTTTCTTTTGTGGCAAGAACATGTTTTTCAAAATTTCTACTAATTCAGTCTGCAGCTGAGCATTACTAATTTTCTTTCTCATCTTCATTATTTGTATGATAGCTTCCTAAAAGAAAAAATAAAAATGAAATATTAAATTATTTTAAGTAAAACAAAACAAAAAATGACTTTTAATGTATTTTATCCTCTATCCAATACCTATCCAAATGATTAGCAATCACTAGATTAATCTTCAGACCAGTATCTTTTTTTCACTCTGAAAAATAAAATCTGCATATTATGGAGATTTTAAAAAATGAGGAAAAACAAAATTACCCATAACTTCTCTGATGAAAAGAAAATCACAACTAGGGTTTTGGTGTATTTCCTTTCATTCCTTCGTATCCACACTATGTACATTTAAAAAGTTTATTTTACCTGTGAACACAATATGTATATAACCTGATATTGTGTTAAGAATCAACTATCAACTAAGATACAACAAACCCCTTACACAAACTTTTCCCCTTGTATTCACAGTTACTTCTTTGTATAGCAGTAGAGGCCAGTTGCTGTCTGTTTCAAAAATTAATAATTACCTTCTTTATAAATTTATCAGATTAATAAACTGTACTTGTTATAAGTATCTTCAGTTTGTATTGACTCAATTAAATGGTTTAACTTTCTGTAGGAGTAAGCACTTTTCATCTAAATCAATTTTATCAATAGCTTCCTTGATGATTTCTTTATTATTATTCTTTTAATAAGGAAAATTAGAAAATTACTACATATTTTCTCTTTTGCCTTTTCCAGTACAAGGTGTCTGCTTAGTCAACAAAAGGCATTCATCTGCCTTAGTGGAGGTTAGAATTCATTATAAAAGAAATGTGAAAACAAAAAAAGGAATCAATATTTGCTTTTTAACATTGAAAATGGAGTTTGGCTACAAGGCAATATGCTTGGGAGTCAGGCACTACTCTGTGAGAAAAGTATACCTTCAACTTCCCCTGTACAGATATGAGGATTCCTACACTGCCACTAGGAGGTCAGGTGAATTACTCCCAATGTCAGTATATCCAGATCCAGGCTCTTGATCACAGGGGTTTATGTCAAGGGTCCAGAGAGAAAGGAAGAAGATGGAAAAAGTCTGTCCCCCTACAGGCACTTGTACATTACAGAAACCAGTAAGTAGGAGAGGAACAACTGTAAATATTCCAATTTCTCCTATTCTAGCTTCAGTAGAGGTGAAGATGGCTGTGTTAGAGATGTTAAGAGAAAAACAGAGGGGTTCTGGCCCTGGTCCCATTTAATAGGTTGGAGGTCACTTGAAAAGTGGCACGATATGATGGAAGTAATTTGCACTCCTGAATTTCTCTCAGTTCCCATATGATACAGATAGTTTAGAGCCAATGGACCTGCCACAGGGCCTGCAGTGTCAGGAGAGGGTGATCCTGTAACAGCAGATGATAACAGTGTGCCATGTAGGCCAAGGGCCACAAAGAAGATGTAGCAGAGGCTCAGAGGGCTCAAGAGCTCAGTAAGAGCAGAGGACAGGCAGCCAGAACAGGAAAGAGGCCACGTGGTCCTTACCAACTGGTAAAAGAATAAACCCTAGTTCATCTGCTACAGACATCAGCAATAGATAGCAATAGAAAGTCAAATTCCCATAGGTGACAGATAAAGCACTCTAGAGCTGACAAGACCAAAAACCTAGAACACTGTTACAACTGTACATATAGGACAATCCCTTCACTGTCACTATGAAGTCAAGTGAATTTCTCTCAACCTCAACACATGCAGATGTCATCTGTGAAAACAGCAAAGAACAGGGATGGGTGGAGTAGAATCAGGGAGAAATAAGTCTGAGCATTACCTAAAGGGATAGCTTGGATTAGCAGATTGAGCATAATTATGAATCAGTTTTAGATGAAACAAAAAAACTTCATTTTCTTTGCACATCTTATAGTATGACTATACCTATTCCACTTCATATCTCAACTCTAATCCATCTGTATTTATCCTGGTATAGCCATAAACTAAGACTATATCATGTTTTTTCCTCCCAGAAGTAAAAGTTTCCAAAATCTCTTATTGAATAATACACTCTCTTTTCATGGGCCATGGAAATTATTTCCTTTATTGCAAAGTTCATCTACACTTATATAGGAGCTTTAATTCTGAGCTATTTTCTTCTATTAATCTGTATGTTATGCTATTTTATTTTTGTAGATATTTTAATAAGTTTTACTATTTGGCAAGGCAAGTTCCACCACCATTAACACCTTATTTTTTTAAGGTTCTCAATTACTCTCATCTATTTGTTCTTTCTGATAAAACTGAGAATCAATTTTTAAAATTCCAAAAATATTCCTAGTTGAATTTTTATACGAAATTCAGTAGACTTGTTACTAGTATGGGAAGTTATTCAGCCTTATCATTAAAAAATATGGTATTTCGGACTTCCCTGGTGGCACAGTGGTTAAGAATCCATCTGCCAATGCAGGGGACACAGGTTCGATCCCTGGTCCGGGAAGATCCCACATGCCACGGAGCAACTAAGACTATGCACCACAACTACTGAGCCTGCGCCCTAGAGCCTGTGAGCCACAACTACTGAGCCCATGTGCCGCAACTACTGAAGCCCGTGTGCTCTAGGACCCATGTGCCGCAACTACTGAGCCCGCATGCTGCAGCTACTGAAGCCTGTGTGCCTAAAGCCTGTGCTCCACAACAAGAGAAGCCACCACAATGAGAAGCCTGCACCCTGCAACAAAGAGTAGCCCCTGCTCACCGCAACTAGAGAAAGCCCGCACACAGCAACGAAGACCCAAAGCAGCCAAAAAAACCCAAAAACCCAAAAAACCAAATGGTATTTCATGTTAAAAAGAAGCCAGATACAAAGAATACACTGTCTGATTCCATGTATATGAAGACCAAGAACAGGCAAAACAAAGCAATGGTGATAGGAATCAGGTGGGTTGAAGGGGGAGATTGGCTGAATGGAGACATGGAGAAATTACTGGAGTGATAGAAATGTTCTATATTTTAATTGAGGTGATGGTCACACAGGTATACACATTTAGCAAAACACACTGAAAACTATGAAATATGTATTCTATTATATGTAAGTTATCCCTCAATTAAAAAATTTAGTAAGAAAAAAAGGAACATGATCTTTCTATTTATTCAAATCTCCTTTTGAATCTCTCAGGCGAAGGCCCCTCTCTTCATACAGGTCCAACACACTGCTTTTTAAAGAAATGCCTGTGAATTCTATGGTTTCTTCTTTTATTTTCTTAAATTTATTTATTTATTTATTGCTAAATAGAAAAGCATTTGATTTTTATTTATCTTTTCTCTGTTCCTTTATCATATTATATGATCTACAAGAAGTGAAAAATTTTGATCTTTTCTTCTTTTTTGTTTCATGCTTGACTGCATTGGCCAATAGTTTCAAACAATATTAAATGAAAACAGTAAAAGTGGGACAACTTGGTTTTAATAAGACTATTTCTAAAGTTAAAACAGTCATACATTAGTTTGCAATAGGTATTCTTTATCATGTTCAGAAGGTATAATCCTAGTTTTAAAATACGTTTTTTAAAGTGTCCCTAATTACCCATTGCGATGGAATTAGAAGTGTTAAAATTAAATTTTAAATACTCAATCCTAGAATTGTACTTGTTGCTGATATACATTTATTCTCTTTGACATGCAGTCAGAGAAGCATAACCTAAAACCAAGGTTTCTGCCCAACCAACAGAACCTACCAGAGACCACCAAGTCATATAGACATCTCTTTGAGCAACTAAGAGAATGTTACTAATACAATTTTTATATTTCAGTAAATTGAAAATTAGCTCCTCTGCACGAAAAGTGTGAGTACCTACATTCCTTTAATTTTAAAAAAAGATTTGAAGATTCAAGAAACAACATTTTTCAAAATTTAGACATTGTGTCTTAATATTACAAACCTGGGTTCTCAGTATTCTTAGTTGAACTATTCCTTCATTCTCTTCTTCTCTCATCCTTTCTGTAGTGAGCTGCAAGCGTCCAATCAAGTTGATTTTACCCCTTTTCTGAACTTTTGCATTTTTTCTATAAAAAACATTAAATCAAATATTTTACAGTGTAAGGCTTTTTAAACATCATATTATAGCAACAATGTCTAAGAGAATATATTTAGAAATAGTCTAAAAATTAATATCCAACACTGTTTAAGGGAAAAGTAACAAATAACCAACATGTAGCTTTATTAAAATGAACCCTATGATTTCCCTCAAACATGATAAAAGCTCTGTTAATAAGTGTGACTATGCTCCCTATAATAACAAAGTTAATATAATTTATATTGCCATGAAAGTGATTAGATAATTGAAGATATGTGGGTTGTAATTCAACATTATCTTCTAATTGGATCTAAAGGAAACAGTACTCCGTGTGGATAAAGCTGCTTTAGAGTGCAAAAGGGTGTTTACTTTAAAGATGAAAAGCAATATAGTATGTCAGACACCAAAATGTATCCATGAAAAATATGTAAAGAAATAATAAACATCTCTAGTTCATGAATATGTTTAATAAACAACTAAATGGCATAAATCTACAGCATACAGATGTTTTAAATATCATGTAAGGAAAATTATTTTGCTAAAAATAAAATATTAAAATTCAAATAAGGTATTTTTATTTTAGACCAATCAACATAAACCTTACATTAAACTGAACTCCTGGTTCACTGAGAAGAGGGTACCTTCTGTAAAGTCTTTGGGTGAGTTGACTTGAGGTTCATACAATAAAACTTGCCGTTTGAGCTTTGGGAAAGCTACTAAAGACTATGAAGAATAAAGAGAAAACAATTAGCTTCTATAAACACTATGGAATACCAAGATCAATTTTACAACATGACCAATATAGGTGAGAAAAAATTATGAGCACAAACTCATAATTCAAAATTTTATTTGGTACTTCCAAACAATGTAAATGCATAATGAGGAAAGAGAATGAGGAGAAAAGAGTTGGTTATGAGGAAGCAATAAATGCTCTCTTTACAATAAGACAACCAAAAAAACACAACAACAACAAACTAGAGGGATTGGTCATATATGACCACAGCAAACATTGCCGGTTATAAACCAGCTGTTTCTCTCTAGGTAATAATTTATTTTGGAACTTTTAACAGGCATATGGAGTAGGGGCTAAAATGTAGTTTTGAACAGGAGGCTAATAAGTACATTTTACAGGGCCTCAAAAGGACCAAAGTCTTCTTATTCTTAGAATTTTGGTTATCATAAAAATCTTTGAACACATTTTCAATATGAAATCTTTGGTCATGCTCTTCACAGGCAAAATTTAAACACCAACTCAATCTCTTTCTTTCTCTCTCTCTTGCCATTCTCTGTCTTAGTAACTTGCTTATTTTCAATTTTTTTCCCATAAATACCTCAGTAGCGTATTTTTCTTGCTTAAAAGTCATTTGAGTGTTATGAATTCATAAATTTATTATAACACAAGCCAACACATGTTTCCTGCTATGTGAGAGGATGCAATGTTAAAAACAAAAAACATAAAAACAAACCAACCCATAAAGTTCTTCTAAGCTCAGCATCAGGGAGTTCAGTTGCAAGTTTTAGATTTTCAAAGCTGATTTTCTCTCTGGGTCTTTGGTTCCATGCAAACAATACAGCCAGCTGAAATGTTGTTACCTCCAAATCATATTGACCTACTTCATTCTTAAACGTTATCTATAATAGATAAAATAGTTAAAAAAATAAGAATCTCTTCATGATGATTACCATCTATCTACTATAATATCTCTTATATGAAATTATATACAAAAAGACTGCGAGTTGTCTTTCAATATCCATTCTTCCTTTCTTACATGGTAATAAAAATTTTAGCAGACTTTAATGACTGTCCAGAATAAAGGCTCACCTCCCAGCTTTCCTGAGCAAAAATGTGGCCATGTAACTAAGTTCTGGCCAATGAGATTTGAGTGGAAATAATGGGGGAAACTTCTAGAAGTTGCCGTTCAAGGAAGCTATACCCTCACATCTTTCCCTTCCTGTTGGGCTGCAAGACAGACATAGTGAGGATCATACTGGATTCTGCAGGCAAGGGAATACCTTAAGGATGGTGCTGTAACCAGAAGTCTATGTCCCTAACAACTTCATGGAACAGATCTACTATACCTGCTCAAACTTTCACTTGTGAGAGAAGGAAAGATCTATCTTGTTTAAACAAATCTTATTTGGAGTCCTGCTACTTTCAGCCAAACCAATATCTGAACTAACACACCATCTACTTACAATTCCATTTGACATGAGATGATGCCAATGTAATTTTCTACCACTATGGTTTTTTTTGTAGAATTCTTCTACTTCGGGTATCAAATCCTCCAGTTCAGTAGGAAGTGAGACAAAGACTTTTTCAGAGCTTCTTGACCAGGCACCAGCATTCAGAATTTTTATATTAACTGAATCAGCTATAGGAAAGTATATCAGAAAATATAAAGCAAATAATCTTGACAATGGGTAAAATTCAAAATACATACACAGAGGATAAGCTTTGGTGAAAAATAAGATGTTAAAGATTTTGTTAAAAGTGTCTTTCTATTTCAAAATAAGAATTAGTAAATGTAAATTCTGCTTTGTAGGATATTTTCAAGGAATGTGGACTTTGAAACATCTTTGTCTCTATTACTGCTTAGTTTTATTTTTAATTCACTAGAAAACAAAGATATTCTTTTGTAAAATGTTTAAAAAAATGTATGTAATTATAAAATAATACCTGGTAAAGCCAATTTATTATTTTTGTGCATTTCCTTAAAAGCTTGGTTCAAATCTTCAGATACTTTAATGTCCTGAAACATTCTAGCAAGCTTGTTTACATAATCTGCTGGCATACCAACTTCCTATGAAAACCAAAGACAGAAGAAGTAATAAATAATAAATAATGTGATATACTATTAGGCAAAATTTTAATGGAAAACTAAGTTTTAGATGCTTTAATACAAAATTCTTCTTCTCTCTTATATTTATAGAATAATCTAATTTATAATCTAATACCTATTAAATTTGATTCTTAGAACCTAAACAGAATATACAAGCAATCCTGGCTTTCTGTGCATGATTCCAATATGCATGAATTTCAGTTACCACAGTACAGTTAAAAGAACACCAGTACCCCAACAATGTTCAACTTTCAATTACCATTATATATTAAATGTGAGTTATGCATAAAGCACAAATTTCACTTCTAGCTCCTCAATCTACAAATCACTAACAAATAACAGAACACATCATATCAGTGACCAATCACAATATTTCTTTCAAAATCTGTTAGTCATCTGTTTATTCAGTTCACCCACAGACAGCAAAGCATGTAGCTTTGTTGCATCCATGTCTTCCACTGATAAATCCACATGACATTTTACAAAAACAGACAACTGAAAGAGGTATTGGTCAAGAAAGATGATAAAAGTACACCAAAAAAAAAAAGAAGAAAAGGAAAGGACAGAAAAGGAAGGGAGGGAGGGAGGCAGGAAGGAAGGAAGGAAGGGAATAATGTTGGAAATGAAAATAAAATAGAACATAAATGGAGTTTCTGAAGAAAGAGCTAACTGTGGTTGTAATATTTGTTGATAACGCCAATGCTGAAGAGTCTAAACATGCAGGTACAAGGAACTTAATGAAGGCAAATTATCAACATAAATGAGAAAAGTGGTAGTGACAAAAAAATTAAGAAGAGGAAGTGATGCCAGCAAAAACTTTCACGACTTTGAAAGACCAAAAGACAAGTTTGGAAGCTGATCCAAACTTACAGAGTATGAGAACTCTTCAAAGTATACAAAAGGTGCTCACTAAGTAACTTGTAAGTTACATGACAAGAAGGCAAGTACTAGTCAAACTACTCTTCATTTTAGTAACAGTGTTGATATATAAATCATGTACCTCAAAATTTGCCCTTTTAAAGTGTACAATTAATCAGGTTTCAGTATATTTACAGAGTTATGCAACCATCACCACTATCTAAATTTAGAACATTTTCATCATCCCCAAAAGAAACTCCATACTTACTAGCAGTCACTCTCCATGTTCCCCCACTCCTCCATTCCTGAAAACCATTAATTTATTTTTTGTCTTTATAGATTTGGCTACTGTGGACACTTTGTATTAGGGAATCATATAGTATGTGGTCTAACTGGCTTCTTTGCTTATTAGCATAATATTTTCAAAGTACATCTATATGGTTGCATATATCAGCAGTTCATTTATTTATTTTTTATTTTATTTTATTTTTTTTTAAATAATACACAATGTATTTATTTATTTATTTATTTATGGCTGTGTTGGGTCTTCATTTCTGTGCATGGGCTTTCTCTAGTTGTGGCAAGTGGGGGTCACTCTTCATCGCGGTGCGCAGGCCTCTCACTATCGCGGCCTCTGTTGTTGCGGAGCACAGGCTCCAGACGCGCAGGCTCAGTAATTGTGGCTCACGGGCCCAGTTGCTCCATGGCATGTGGGATCTTCCCAGACCAGGGCTCGAACCTGTGCCGTCTGCATTGGCAGGCAGATTCTCAACCACTGCGCCACCAGGGAAGCCCTCATTTATTTTTATTACCAAAAATATTCCATTATATGAATAAACCATATTTTATCTACTTATCAGCTGACTGACCTTCTGGGTTATTTTCACTTTTCGGCTATTATGAATAATGCTGCTGTGAACATTCATGTACAATTTTTTGTGTGCTCATTATGTTTTCACTTCTCTTGAGTGGGATTACCTAGGAGTAAGTAGAATTGCCAGGTCAACTCTATGTTTAACTTTTTGAGGAACCGTCAGTTTTCCAAAGTGGCTGCACCATTTTAAATTCCTACCAGCAATGCATGAGGGTTCCAATTTCTCCTCTTCCTCACTAACATCTGTTATTGTCTGAATTTTCAGCTATCTCAGTGGTTTTAATTTGCATTTCCCTAATAACTAATGATGTTGAGCATCTTTGCATACACTTATTGGACATTTATATATCTTTTGTAAAGAAATGTCTATTCCAATTCTTTGCCCTCACTGCTGTGGCCTCTCCCGTTGCGGAGCACAGGCTCCAGACGCGCAGGCTCAGCGGCCATAGCTCACAGGCCTAGCCGCTCCGCGGCATGTGGGATCTTCCCGGACTGGGGCATGAACCCGTGTCCCCTGCATCGGCAGGCGGACTCAACCACTGCGCCACCAGGAAAGCCCCTCTTTGCCCATTTTTAACTGAGTTGTCTTTACTGTTGAGTTGTAAGAGTTCTTTATATATTCTAGATACAGTATCAGACATGTAAATTGCAATAGCAGTTTTTTCAAAGAAATACACTTTAAATCTGAAAGTTTATGTTTTAAATTACAGTGTACTAAATACATATTAATTTTACTAATTTTTTCTTTCTCCTATATACTTTGATAATAAGAAGTTTTTAATATTTTGACAAAAATTTCGAAGTCACAAAGCAGTAATTTTTCCCAGTGATTGTTAATATTAAGATCACCTGAACAGTAATTTTTACCATCCCACACTACCAGGCAAAACAGGGCTATCTGCAAATCTTTAATTTGAAATACACATATATAAATGAAAAAAATATATATAAAATACATATAATTATACACATTATAATAGAGGTTTTATTATATATTAATGTAATATTATATATAACAACATATGTATAAATGAAAGACATTCATTTATGTTATACTAATATAACTCAAATTCCATGAAAATGGACTGAAAGGAACAAACATAAAATATGTTAACATGGGAATTTAGCCATAATTAGCATTGATTAACCTAAATAAGCCATCACCTTTTACCTATTCGTTCTTTTTCCTTAATAGATGTATTTATATACAAACATCTCTATGGCTAAATATTTAGTACTAAAAACATCTTAAAAATGAAAGGATTTGTCCGTTAGTTAAGGTCAGTTCAAATGAAAGCAGAGATACAAAAAAGTGAAACAACAGAAGCAAAGCAAGAGCAAAGGTGCTTCACCAGAAGTCTTCATTAAGAAAATATACTTTATTTTATATAATTGATGCTATATTCTTCTAAAACGTTCTATACTTCTTCAATATTAACAATATCAACAAAATGCATTACTTAAGCACACATATGAACCATGTGCTATTTTAAGAAAACCAAATATTTTTTAAAATTTTACTTACTCTTAGCCACTCTACCATATTCTCTTCAATTTCACTATCAGCAGAGATGTCTAATATAAGACGTCGTGTCAAATGAGCTTTGTGATATCTCATAAAAACGTCTTTGTTTTGTACATATTTAAGTACCAAGAGCTGTACAGAAAAAAAAGTTACTTTCAATTTACATACATTCTTAGCCATCCCTCTCATTTAGACCTTTCTACATCCCCAATTGTCAAAATTCAGAAATTTATATAAGCAAATACAGAGGTTTACTAAATTGCCCATCTCTGAAAAATAACCAGTCCTGAAATACTACAATACTTTAATACTTTAGAAGTTAGCAAATTTGAGACTGTAACCAAATAACCTTTTAGTTCTTAGAAACATTAATTTTTGAGATTTAATATAAAATGTGATAAAACTTTACATGAAAATCAATGGTTCTTCCCCATTTTTTTCTTCTACGTTTCTTCTTCACTTTATTCTGACACTAATCTTCTCTCTAACCACCCCCCACTCCACCCCCCCGCTTTGCTGGCTGCACCATGCAGCTTATGGGATCTCAGTTCCAGGGATTGAACCTGGGCCCAGCAGTGAAAGCAGTCTTAACCACTGGACTGCCATGGAACTCCCCCCTCTAACCCTCTTTGTCTATACTTTCTCTATATATTTACTTACTAATTTTTTCCTCTTTGATGTGATGTCCTTGGCTTATATTACAATAACAAGCAGAGACAAATAAATATGAAAGCAACTAACTTTTTATCTACATTCATTTATCCCTAGCTATCTATTTTGGGCTCTCACAAAAAGAAAGAAGTGAAAAACTCCTGGTCTCTCAAATATCATTCCAAATACCACCAGCTAGCTCCATTTTCCCTTTTTTTGTCCTTTAATACGAGCTAGAATTTAACTGACTTTTAAAAATAATCAAGAAAGGGGAAGAATTAAATACTATTTCCCTTTCTGGCAGCTACAGAATAGAAATTTTCAGTAAGAAAAATAACTGCTCTATAGAGATCTTGCACTGGTAAAATTTCATAATATTAGTTGCTTAGAGACATACGTTAAAAAAAAAAAACTGAGGCTATCACAGAAAGCCTTATAAGCAAAACACAAATTCGAAGATAATTTAAAAATTTCAAGTTAAAAAAATTTTATGTACCACTTCTTTAAGCTTTGCTTCAATCTCTTCAGAGGTTAGTTTTTTGCTTAATGGCGTTTTTCTTAGCAACATGTCACAGTAATTGGCAAGCAGCTCAGGGCATTTTGATTCAGGCTGAGTTTTTAATCCCACCCTAAAAAACAAATTAAAAGCAGTTGATGAAAATGACTGAATCTGCAAATATTTTTTCTAAAGCCAATTTTTCACAGATTTCTTATGTTGTATAGATCCAGTGAGACTAGGGTAAGCAAGTCTACATCTAGGGTGCATAGTTTAAGGAGGCACTCACTCTTAGGTTCCCATAAGTGCACTTGGAGAACACTGAGAGTGAGACCTCCTTGTATTTTGTAACCTATGTGCCACCTTGCCTCACTCTAGTGGCAGCTTTGTCAATGATCTTTAAAAGATTTTATTAAGATGCTTCTAAAATAGTTTTGAAAAACTGTGTAAATCCTTGCATATTTATAAGTTAACACTTAAAACTTTTTTTTTTAAAGCACTCAGTGCTCAATTTATTTGCAAGATGTCACACAAGTAGCATTCTCCCCTGTTTTTCACGATCTGATTCAGAACATCAATCAATTTATGTTAAAACTGTTACTTCACTCTTTGTGACATATCAAATGTAACCTAAATTTCACAATGATATGACATATATCATCCTTCATTAAAAACTGTAAACAAACTTTCCTTAAACAATGAACTTACATCTCTATTTCACTTTCCTAACAAAACTTTAAAACGAGTGTATCGTATTTAATGTTTGAAAGTCTTTCATTTATTCTTTATCCCACTTCTCTAAACTATGTAAATAAATTTAAATTCAACATTTTAAAACTTCTTATGTATAGATAAAATTCAACTGTTATCAGAAATGAGTTGTCCAAATTATTATAAGTACACGACTTAACAAAACAACATAATTATATTGTGTGTGTATAAAACATATGCACATGCAAAATTTTGTCTATGAAGTGGATGAAACTTTTTTCCCCTCCCAATTATGAATGCAGGAAATCATCAATTTTACTTCTACTTTTTGTATTTGTAAATTTATGTCTTTTCCCTAAAAAATCTTATTCACATTAAGTTAATAGATAGGACTAGAAGAAGTTTTTCTTATAATGTTACTCAATTCATTGAGCACCTCCTGAGTTATTTGCTAAAAAAACATATACTGATCTAACAAAAAAAAGTTATTTTTTAATAATGGATCAACTTAGCCAACAATTGTGTTGAAAGCAAATAATTAGAAACCATTTTGCAAAAGGATATAACATCTAGTCATTAGAAATTCATTTTCTGTACAACAATACCAGTATTTCAAAATATTCCTTTCTTACACGACTTGGAGGCATTTTACAATTCAAGGCACATACCATAGTAAGAATGAAGAGAGATATGCCTTTCTTTACAAAATAGGGAAGAGTAATTCTGGAAAGGAGAAGTGAAAGGAGAAACTGCAATACTTCCACCAGAGGGATCAATTTCAGAAAAAAGTAGATGTGGAAATTGAGGATTTAGAAAGTGATTTCCTTAGAAGTATCTACACTGGCATACTCTTGGGAATTCTTTCTGTATCCCTCGAGGTAGATATAGCAAGTCTAAAGACCACTAACTTACTTCATAAGAATCTATCCATCTCCTCCAATCTATTCACATTGACAATACCTAGCTTCTATATGAACTTCTGTAATAACTGCAGTGGTCTAATCTCCTTTCCTCCAATTCAACAGGTTGAGAAGACAGTTTTCTTTTACTGTTGTTTCTTTGGTATTGTGTCATTCCCCCGATCTCTGGCTTTTTGTGTTTTGTTTTGTTTTTTTTCCAGTTTTTAGCTGTTTTACTATGATGTACCTAGGAATGGTTTAATTTGTAGTTATCATGCTTGAGATTCAAAGAGTTGCTTGAATACAGAAATTGGCATCTTTTGGCAATTTGGAAATAGTTTGGTCAATAGCTCATGCCTCCTTTTCCTTTCTCTATGATTCCAATTACATATTGCTATAGATATTTTATGTTTTCTCAGGTAACAATTTCCACCAATTTGTCTATTAATATGCATTACTTACTCATTATTATTCATGACATACTTAAGATTACTGAGATATAATTCACATACCATACAATTTATCCATCTGAAGTGTGTAATTCAATGTTTCTTTAAAGTATATTCACAAGGTTGTTCAACTATCATCAAAATAAAATTTTAAACATTTTCATTACCCCAAAAACAAACCCCATACTCATTAGTAGTCAAATCTCATTTTCCAGCTATCCCTCCCTCCCAGTCCCTAGTTATAACTAATCTACTTTCTGTCTCTATGGATTTCCTTATTCTGGACATCTCATATAAATGGAAGCATACAATATGTGACCTTTTGTGACTGGTATCTCTTACTTAGCATAATGTTTTTGTGATTCATCCAGATCATAGCACATATCCATTCATTCCTTAAAAAAAATTGTCCTTTTATCATGGTCAAAAGATTTAGCATATTAGCCATTTTAAGTGTACAATTCAGTGGCCTTAAGTACATTCACAATGTTCTGCAAATATCATCACTATCTATGTCCAGAAATTTTTCATTATCCCAAATAGAAACCCTGTACTCATTAAACAATAACCTTCCATTCCCTCCTATCCCCAGTTCCTGGTAACGTCTATTGTACTTTTCTGAGTCAATAAATTTGCCTATCCTAGATATTTCATATAAGTGTAATCATAAAAAATTTGTCCTTTTGTGTCTGGCTTATTTCACATCTCAAGGTTTCACTCAAGTTGTAGCATGTATCAGAATTTCTTTCCTTTTATGACTAAATAAAATTCCATCACATAGATATACTGCATTTTGCTTATCCATCATCAGATAATGGACATTTGTGTTGTTTCCATTTTTTGGCTATTAAGAATAATGCTGCTATGAACATTTATGTACAAGTTTTTGAGTAGATATATGTTTTCATTTCTTTTGGGTATATACCCAGGAGTGGAGCTGATGGGTCACATGTTAACTTTATGTTAAACTTCTTGAGGAACTACAAAACTGTTACCACAGTAGCTGTGTACCAACTATAATGATCCCAATATCTCTCCACATCTTCACCAACACTTGTTAATGTCTTTTTAATTTTAGCCATCCTAGTGGGCGTGAGTGATATATTACTGTGCTTGAGTTATTAATCTTAATTGTTTTAAAGTCCTTATCTGCTAACTCCAATAGTGGGATCACCTGAGAGTCTGCTTCTGAAATTATTTTTCTCTTAGTTGACCATAAATTTCTCTGCCATCACAGGACTGTAAGGTACTGAATACTACACACTGCATATAAAAGAATCATGAAGGGGGAGAGGGATAAATTAGGAATTTAGGATTAACATATACACATTATTATATATAAAACAGATAACCAACAAGGATCTACTGCATAGCACAGGGAACTATACTCAATATTTTGTAATAACCTACAGGAAAAAAGAATCTGAAAAAAATATACATGTATAACTTAATCACTTTGCTGTATACCTGAAATTAACACAACATTGTAAATTAACTGTACTTCAATTAAAAAAAAAAAAAGAATCACAGAGGCACCAGACTAGTTTATTTTCCATTACAAACAAGACACATATATTTGCTGTCTACAAGAGACCCACTCCACACCTAGAGACACATACAGACTGAAAGTAAGGGGAAGGAAAAAGGTATTTCATGCAAATGGAAACCAAAAGAAAGCTGGAGTAGCAATTCTCATATCAGACAAAATAGACTTTAAAATAAAGACTATTACAAGAGACAAAGAAGGACACTACATAATGATTAAGGGATCGATCCAAGAAGAAGATATAACAATTGTAAATATTTATGCACCCAACATAGGAGCACCTCAACACATAAGGCAAATACTAACAGCCATAAAAGGGGAAATCGACAGTAACACATTCATAGTAGGGGACTTTAACACCCCACTTTCACCAATGGACAGATCATCCAAAATGAAAATAAATAAGGAAACCCAAGCTTTAAATGATACATTAAACAAGATGGACTTAATTGATATTTATAGGACATTCCAACCAAAAACAACAGAATACACATTTTTCTCTAGTGCTCATGGAACATTCTCTAGGATAGATATTATCTTGGGTCACAAATCAAGCCTTGGTAAATTTAAGAAAATTGAAATTGTATCAAGTATCTTTTCCGACCACAACGCTATGAGACTAGATATCAATTACAGGAAAAGAGCTGTAAAAAATACAAACACATGGAGGCTAAACAATACACTACTTAATAACGAAGTGATCACTGAAGAAATCAAAGAGGAAATTAAAAAATACCTAGAAACAAATGACAATGGAGATACAACGACCCAAAACCTATGGGATGCAGCAAAAGCAGTTCTAAGAGGGAAGTTTATAGCAATACAAGCCCACCTTAAGAAGCAGGAAACATCTCGAATAAACAACCTAACCTTGCACCTCAAGCAATTAGAGAAAGAAGAACAAAAAAACCCCAGAGTTAGCAGAAGGAAAGAAATCATAAAAATCAGATCAGAAATAAATGAAAAAGAAATGAAGGAAACAATAGCAAAGATCAATAAAACTAAAAGCTGGTTCTTTGAGAAGATAAACAAAATTGATAAACCATTAGCCAGACTCATCAAGAAAAAAAGGGAGAAGACTCAAATCAATAGAATCAGAAATGAAAAAGGAGAAGTAACAACTGACACTGCAGAAATAAAAAAAATCATGAGGGATTACTACAAGCAACTCTATGCCAATAAAATGGACAATCTGGAAGAAATGGACAAATTCTTAGAAATGCACAAACTGCCAAGACTGAATCAGGAAGAAATAGAAAATATGAACAGACCAATCACAAGCACTGAAATTGAAACTGTGATTAAAAATCTTCCAACAAACAAAAGCCCAGGACCAGATGGCTTCACAGGCGAATTCTATCAAACATTTAGAGAAGAGCTAACACCTATCCTTCTCAAACTCTTCCAAAATATAGCAGAGGGAGGAACACTCCCAAACTCATTCTACGAGGCCACCATCACCTTGATACCAAAACCAGACAAGGATGTCACAAAGAAAGAAAACTACAGGCCAATATCACTGATGAAC